AGCCCCAGGATTGACAAAATAAAATATTTTTAAGCAAAAACTAAAATATTTCTAAGCAAAGAAAAAATCTTTTTTTTTTTTCAGTCCAGGGACTTGAACTCTGGTCCTCAGTGCTGTCCCTCAGCTCTTCAGCTCAAGGGAAGCACTCTTACCACTTGAGCCACAGTGCCACCTCCAGCTTTTACCTCTAGCCGTTTATGTGGTACTGAGGAATCAAACCCAGGGCTTTATGCATGCAAGGCAAGCACTCTACCACTGAGCCACCTTCCCAGCCCCTTCCCCCCCCCACACACACTTTTTTCGTGCCCATATTGGGGCTTGCAGTCAAGTCCTGGTCCTCTCTCTGAACTTTTTGCTCAAGGCTAGCACTCTATCACTTGAGCAACAATTTTACTTCTGGCTCTTTGGCGGTTTATTGAAGTCTCACAAACTTTCCTGCCCTGGCTGGCTTCGAACTGCCATCCTCAGATCTCAGCTTCCTGGATAGCTAGGATTAGGTGTGAGCCACTGACTCCTGGCTTTATTTATTTATTAACTGTGAAAAAATTTATTTTGGGCTGGGAATTTGGCTTAGTGGTAGAGTGCTTGCCTTGAATGCATAAAGCCCAGGATTCTATTCCTCAGTACCACATAAACAGAAAAAGCCAGAAGTGGTGCTGTGGCTAAAGTGATAGTACTACTCTTGAGCAAAAGAAGCTGAGGGACTGCCCAGGCCCTGAGTTTCAGCCCCAGGACTGGGGAAAAAAAAAATCACATTATTTTGACACTTAATTGACCAGGTTGTACCCATTGCTTGGGAAATGCAATGAAGATAATTCACATTGGGAGGACTCAAAGGACAAACCAGCCGCTAGTAAGGTTTTCCATTGTTTTAAGAGGCAAGCTTTCCTTTTGAAGAACATAGTATTCAAGTTGTCTGTCTGTTTTGGTGTCTTGAACTCAGGGCCTGGGTACTGTCAATGAGCATTTTTGCTCATGGCTAGTGCTTTACCACTTGAGCCACAGCTCCAGTTCCAGCTTTTTGGTGGTTAACTGGAAGCAAGTTTCATAGACTTTTCTGCCTAGGCTGGATTCAAACCACCATCCTCAGATCTCAGCCTCCTTAGTTGCTAGGATTCCTGCTTATTTTTATTTAGCAAGTTTTTTAAAGCCAATATTTTCAGGGCTGAGGGTGTGGCTCAAGGGATGGAACACTTGCCTTGTAAATTTAAAAGGCTTTAGGTTCAAATCCTCAAAGAGAGAAACAAAAGCATCCTTTCTCATAACCTTGTAACTGAAGCATTCATAGATCTTGCCAGTATTTTCCCCTAGGAAGGCCAGTTCTTGTGCAAATAGCTATCCTTTTACTTTTTTTTTCTTTGCCAGTCCTAGGGCTTGAACTCAGGGCCTAAGCACTGTCCCTGAGCTTCTTTTGTTCAAGGCTAGCACTATACCACTTGAGCAATAGCTCTAATCTCTGGCTTTTCTGTTTATGTTTACTGAGAAATCAAACCCAGGGCTTCATGGTTGCTAAGTACTCTACCACTAAGCCACATTCCCAGCCTTCTTTTACTTTCTAAACTTGCTATGATCAAATTATTGTAGTAGGACAGACATTTCACAAGTAATAAATTCCCAGGCAGGTGCAAGTGGCTCATGCCTGTAACCCTAGCTACTTAGGAGGCTGAGATATGGAGATCACGGTTTGCAGCCAGCCGGGGTATAAAGTCTGTGAGATTCTGATCTCCAATTAAATCACAGAAAAAGCTGGAAATGGTGCAGTGACTCAAGAGGTAAGAGTGCTAGCCTTGAGCAAAAGGAGCTCAGGAATAGCACCCAGGCCTAGAATTCTAGCCTCGAGACTGGCAAAAATAAATAAAAGATAAATTCCAACAAATATCTGAGATTTTTCTTTTTCCTCTCGTAGAGAATCAGGAAGAGAGTAAAACAAAAACAACAAGGAAAACATTTACCCCCATTTTTCTTTTTGGTAGCACCTAAATTTGTACTCTGGGCCTCCCACTTGGTAGATAGGAGCTTTACTACTCAAGCCACACCTCCCAAACTAAGCATTCGTTCTGAGTAAAACTCTTTATTGTGTAGTTTCCATGGGAAAAAAAAATTTTTACTATCTTATGTAGTCTTTAAAAGCAAATTATTAGCGTAATCACTTAAGGTGTTCATTTTGATCTACTGTGTAATGAATGAGCATTTTCCCTAAAATCTGTTTGGAGTTCCTGAATAGCTAATATTGAAATCACATTCAATATGCAGAAACTCAAGGTTACTGTGTGCAGTAACACAGACACACATATACATACACACACATTTCAAGTTTATTTCAGTATAGCAGTGTTATATACCAAAATACCAATGGTTTTTAAGTTGCTCTTAAAAATAGTCTCTTGGCTGGGAGCGGGTGGCTCATGCCTGTAATCTTAGCTACTCAGGAGGTTGAGGTCTGAGGATCCAGATTCCAAGCCAGTCCCAGCAGTAAAGTCCATGTGATTCTTATCTCCAATTAACCACCAGAAAACCGGAAGAGGTGCTGTAGCTCAACTGGCAGGTCTCAACTGGCAGGTCACTAGCCCTAAGCTAAAGAGCTGAGCGATTACACTGAGACCCAGAGTTCAAGCCCCAGGACCCACAAAAAATAAATTAAAAAAAAAAAATACAGTCTCTTGGGCCTGGGAACATGGCTTAATTGGTAGAATGCTTGCCTGGGATGCATGAAGCCCTGCAGTAATTAGAAAAAGCCAAAAGTGGTGCACTGGCTCAAGTGATCGAGTGCTCCCTTGAGCAAAAGAAGCTGTGACAGTGCCCAGGCCCTGAGTTCAAGCCTCAGAACTGGCAAAAAAAATTAAAATAAAAAAATACAGTCTCTTCACAAGCATTGGTGGCTCATTCCTGTAATCCTAGTTACTAAGGAGGCTGAGATCTGAGGATCACTGCTCAACGCCAGCCAGACTGGGCAGGAAGGTCCATGAGACTCTTAACATCGAATTAACCACCAAAATGCCATTGGAGCTGTGACTCAAGTGGTAGAGCACTACTGTTGAGCAAGAAAGCTCTAGGGCAGTGCTAAGGCCCTGAGTTCAAGCCCCTGGAGTGGCACAAAATAGAAATAATAAGTAAATGAAAGTGTTATTTAAGCTGATTGTTGTTTCCATTGTTGAGTTTTAATATAAGAAGTCTAAGTGGAACAGTTTACTTGAGAGCTTTTCAACAAACTATATATTTCAACAATAAACCTAGGTCTATTTTCTGACTCAATACTAACTTGAGAACATCAAGGTCAAGGAAACAGATTTAGAAATACACATTTATATTAGTAGACTTATGATTCCTTATGTTATTAAGAAATTTTTCATGAAATGGCCATAATTCTAAGGAAATTTTTTTTTTTTGGGGTCCGGTAGTGGGGCCTGAACTCTGGGCCTGGGTGCTGTCCCTCAGCTCTTCAGCTCAAGGCTAGCACTCTACCACTTGAGCCACAGCGCCACTTCCGGCTTTTTCTTTTTTTTGCTTATGTGGTGCTGAGGAATCGAACCCAGGGCCTCAGGCATGCAAGGCAAGCGCTCTATCACTGAGCCACCTTCCCAGCCCCTCTAAGCAAAATTTTATATTCTAGACTTTGGTACAGTCTGGAGTTAAATTCATCAATAGAGGCAGACCTCATTAACTTTTGGGAACAATGCAAAAATAAAAGACCCTCTGTTTATACATAAAAATAAAATTTATTCATATCCTTACAAACATATGTACATGAAGCCACTGTAATGATAACTTCACACTTCCCAAAATGATCCCAAGTGAACCGGGAAAGTGTGTCACATTGATACCTGTGATTAACAAATTCACTACAATTCTTAAGTGTTATTATCAGGACTTAAAACGACAATGCATTAAGGATCAAGCCCACTTAAATATCTTTTCCAATGCTGTGTTTGGATTGACAAGACATTCTTTAAGCACTAGCTTCCATGCTCTGCATTTATCGGCAAAACACAGTTTGGAAGGTTGTGTTCCTTTGGGACAAAAATGTGTAAGTTCAAAGATGTAAAGACGACTACAATTGGAAACGAGTTTGTAATCTACAGAGGACCAAAACTAAGAGGGGAGGGAGGGGGGAAAGGTACCTGAGAGAATAAAGAAAAATGTGAGGCTATAAATCGCTGCTGCCATCTACTACAACACTGCGGCAGACCGGGGGCTGTCTTCCAGGAGGAGGCGGGCGGCCTCCCACCCGCCAGGCGGGTAACGCGGGCAGGAGAGCTTCGCCCCCGGAGGGCCTCTCCGGGGGCCGGTCAGACCCGGCGGCCCAGCATGGGGGGAGGGGGGGGATCACATTTCTGGAAATGTGATGACAGGTCGGCCGCTACTCCACGAGGCTGCCGCCGTGCTGGCGGTTCAAACGCCGAGGTCGGAGCCCGGGTCCCGGGTGGAGAGCTGGGCGGGATGCGGTTCCCCGCCCGAGCCGCCGGTCTGGGAGCGCGGCCGGGCGGCCCTGGGGAGGCAGTGACTCTCGGGGGGCGTTTCGATCGCTCGGTGCCCGCGACCCGCGCTCCCAGAGGGGCTGCGCCGGCGTCCACCTGAACCCCGGGGCCCGCAAAGGGGCCAAACAACCCCCGCGGGGGCCGCGGTACCCAAACCCGCGTCCGGCTCCGGGCTTCGCGTTCCTGCCACAGGCTGAACCCCGCGTCGGGGCGGGAAGGCTGTCCTCCTCCCGGGGGCGGCGTCTCCGAGTCGTACCGGGTTCGAGGAGGAGCCGGGGCTCCAAGGGGCGACGGCCCGCTTCGCGCGGGCGGGCGGCCGGCGGCGGGCGGGCGGAGCGCGGAGCCGCCGGCGGGCCGGGGCCGGGGCCGGGGCCGGGGTCGGATCGGGCGGGCGAGTCCCGACCCGCCGCAGCTCCGGGACCCGGCGCCTCCGGCCCGGCCAGGCCCGGCCCCGGCCCGCCACCCCCCACGCCGCGCCGCGCCGCCCGCTCCGGGTCTCCGCAGTGGGGCCGGCGCGCCACTTACCCGCCGCGAAGGGATTTACGTAGCGGACCTCGTCACTGCTTACGGACGCGAGGAGGTGGGGACGACGAGCCCGACGGCCGCTCCGCAGCGGCGCTGCCGCTCAGCCCGCGCCGACCCCACGTCGCCCCCACGTCAGCGGTGATGCGGTAGTCGCGGCTCCCCGCCGAGCTCGGGCCGACGCTAGCGCCGCACTCCACCCAACCGCGTCCTCGAGCCCCGCCCCTTGTCCCCGCCCCCCCCACGCCCGACACGCCTCCTCCCGGGACAGCCCTGGCGGGGGGCTGGAGGAAGGAAGAAAAATAGGCTCGAACTCTGCCCTCTGCCGGCCGGCTGCGGGAGTGCAGCGCTGACAATCTAACAATTAAATGGAACGGGGGTGGGAGGGGGTTGGAGGAGCTGCTGTGGGCGGGGCCTACGGGATGGGAGGAGTTACGGCCCGGAGCAGGAGCTTGTAGGAGGAGCTAGCCCGCGGGTGGGTCGGAAGACCGTACCCGGCCGGGGCTACGGAGTGTGAGGAGTGGGGAAACCTTAGAGGAAGAGCGTAGCCCAGAGAAGGGCGGGAGATAGAGACAGGGGCGGGGCACGGGGTGGGACTTGAGACCGGAAGCTTTCCTCTACGCATGCGCCCGTGAACTAATTAGTTGTAAGTTACCGGAACGGCGTTCTGGGTGCTCTCCTGCTGGAGTGGCGTTTAGATATGGTACACACCCTGGACTATCACTCAGCCATAAAGAAAAACGGGGATGAGTCAGTTGCAAGAAAGTGGATGGAGATGCCAGATGCCTGTCGTTTACAGGACCTATACCGTACACACACACACGCTTTTACCTAGGCAGAACTTGATTGTAACCATTTACCTGGGACTGAGGGGACCAGAAGGTGGAGGGAGAGGGAAGGAATGATGCACGGTGAAGGATACATTGCAAGTATATATGAAGATGGCAAAAGGGCTCACTGAAAACTGTTGAGCAGTATAGGAATGGGGATATAGGGGGAAAGCAATAGAAGGAGTTACATTAAATATAAAATGGATCCGGGCGCCATTGGCTCACACCTGTAATCCTAGGTACTCGGGAGACTGAGATCTGAGGATCACGGTTCAAAGCCAGCCCAGAAAACCGGAAGTGGTGCTGTGGCTCAAGTGGTAGAGCGCTAACCTTGAGCTGAAGAGCTGAGGGACAGCGCCCAGGCCCAGAGTTCAGGCCCCATGACCAACTATATATGTATACATACATACATATGCACATACAAAATACCACGATAAAACCCCTTCGTGCAATTACTAAGCACTGAAAAACACAAGAAAGTGAAACGGTCTGTTAAGGTTGAATAGCCGCTGGGGGGGGGGGGGGGTTGAATGGAGGACGTGAATAAGGGTAATGATAGAAGCAGTTTGTATACATATATGAAAATACAACGATAAAATGATTGAAAGACCAGGATTAAGGGAGAGGAATAGAGGAGGCAAGTTTGATAGGGCACATGGTATATATGTATAGAGAGGTAGAGCACTTGCCTTGCATGCATGAGGCCCTGGGTTCGATTCCTCAGCACCACATAACAGAAAAAGCCGGAAGTGGCGCTGTGGTTCAAGTGGTAGAGCGCTAGCCTTGAACTGAAGAGCTGAGGACAGCCCCCAGGTCCCACAACCGGCAAAAAGAAAAAGAAAAAAAAGAAATTTCCCAGTGAATCCCCTTTACCCTCAACCCCCCCACCCCCCCACCCCCCCTCCCCCGCTTTAGACAACTAAAGCATTTAAGCCAAGGTCCCTTTTTTTTTTCGGGGGGGGGGGGGGGTCCGGTCATGGGGCCTGAACTCTGGGCCTGGGCGCTGTCCCCCAGCCCCAGCCAAGGTCCCTTTTAAAAAGGGAATAGATTTTGAGACTTTCTGCACAACCAGATGCATATAGTCAATATGCATATAGTCAATCATAATTCATTTTATATTTCACAGTAAATTTCAATTATCTCACCAGAAAAGAACCACCCAAAAAAATAAAGGTGACAGAAATGTTAACTAGTTTGATTTAATCATGCCACATTGTATACACCTATCAAAGGATCATGTTGTGCCCCATAAATTATGTAATTATGATTTGTCAGTCAAAAGTAATCTTTAAGAAGAAAAATAAGAAAGTGCAAACTATGCCTCTTTTTTTGTATCAGTACCACATCATTTATGTGGAAGTGTTAAGAAATGCTGCATTTTGGAGATTAAGAAAGCACTAAGGCTGAAATACCCATATTTTAGTACCTACCACATATCATGGCCACTAATAAAAGAACAATAAAGCTTTCTTGTGTGACCTCAGCTTAAATGCAGTCTTATCAGCAGGGCCAAGTTTCATAACCTCTTGAGAGAGGCATAAGACTTTTAAACTAGGAAGAATAATAATACCCACCTCCTAAGATTGTTATTTAAGCAATCAAGCCAGAAGCTGGGCACTGGTGACTCAAGCCTGTAATCCTAGCTACTGAGGAGGCTGAGATTTGAGGATCTAAGTTTTAAGCCAACCTGAGTATGAAAGTCCGTGAGACTCGTCAACTCTACACCAACAAGCCTGGAGTAGAGCTGTGGCTCAAGTGGTAGAGCACTGCCCTTAAGCACAAAAGCTTAGGGTCAGTGTCCAGGCCCTGAGTTCAAGCCCCAGGACTGGTGCACATGCAAACACACACACACACAAAAAACACAAAACTCTGTTTTCCTGGCAGCAGGCCTGTTTAGCAAATTAATCTGTAAGATAGGTGTCATTACCTTCTTATAGAGAATGCGGCTTGTACCTCAGTCTCCTCTTTCCTATTTTTTAAAAATTTATTTTATTGTAAAGATACTGTAGAGAGGGGTTACAGTCACAGAGTAAGGTAATGAGTACATTTCTTGTCGAGCATTGTTACCCTCTCCCTTGTTGTTTTCCTACTATCCTTCCCACTATCCCTCCCCATCCTCTTTCCTCTTGACTCCTCTTGCTATCCTTGAAAATGTGCTCACACTTAGTCTCCTGGAACTGCTTGCCACAGAAGTCACATGGTCACACACATGACATTTTCAAATTTGCCCTTCTGTCTGCTCCTCTAGGTCTTACCATCCTCCTGCCACCAGTTTGCTCGACAGTAGAGGCCACTTGCCACAGTCACTCCTTCAACACTTACCACTTTTTATTTTTATTTTTGCCTGTCCTGAGGCTTGAACTCAGGGCCTGGGCTCTGTCCCTGAGCTTCTCTGTGCTCAAGGATAGCCCTCTACACTTGAGCCACAGTGCCACTTCTGGCCTTTTCTGTTTATGTGGTACTGAGGAATTGAGCCCAGTACTTAATGCATGCTAAACAAGCACTCTACCACTAAGCCACATTCCCAGCCCTCACTTACCATTTCTTTCTTTTTCTTTCTTTCCTTCTTTTTTTGGTTGGTTGTAGGGCTTGAATTCTGGGCTTAGGCGCTGTTCTGGGCTCTTCAGCTCAAGGGGAGCGCTCTACCGCCTGAGCCACAGCACCACTTCCAGTTTTCTAGTGGTTTTATTGGAGATAAGAGTCTCACAGACTTCCCTGCCAGGGCTGGCTTTGAACCTTGATCCTCAGATCTCAGCCTCCTGAGTAGCTAGGATTACAGGGTGTGAGCCACCCGCGCCAGGCTATTTACCACTTCTTATTCCCTGACTCCTTAGCTTTTACTCACTCCCTTCTCTCTGATTACTACACCTGACCTCTTTTCTCACTTTCATCTCCTTAACCTCTTTTCTTTCATCTTGGAAAGATGTTTTCTTCTAGAAACTATGACTTATTTTTTCTTCTCAAATTGAGCTCTTTTCTACTCTGGAAACTGCAGGATTTGATCAATTTAGTGCAGAGACTTGGGTTTTTTCTCTAAATACTTTTTGGCAAAATGATGCCAGTAATAGTATTTCTCTTATTTTTTTGGTTAAAGTCACCAGTAATAATTCATATTCCCATGCTTAGGGACACAACCCAGGGCCTCCTGCTTGTAGGCACCTATGATGAGTTATTTTCTGTTTTTAACTTTTGGGAATTTTTTTTATTCCCATATGTAGCTATGCAAGGTGGTTTCATTTTGAGATTGTCACACATGCATCCAAAGTATTCTAATCAAAGTCACCCCTCTATACTTCTCCCTTACTCCTCCCCATTTCTTAAAACAATTTCAACAGCCTTTATTGTTTGTTTGTTTGTTTTTTGCCAGTCCTGGGGCCTGAACTCAGGGCCTGGGCATGTCCCTGAGCTTCTTTTACTCAAGCTAGCACTCTACCACTTGAACTACAGCACCACTTTTATGTCATACTGAGGATGTCATGCCTGCTAGGCAAACACTCTACCACTGAGCCACATTCTCACCCCAGATTTTATTGTTTTATCTGCATATATGCAAATAAACTACTTAGACTATATTCATCCTCATCTTCTGCTTCCTGCTGATACACTCTGCAAAAGGGCCTACTTTACTCTTCTGTCATTCATTTATTTAAGTATATTAATTACATCAAAGCTTTTCAGAAGCCAGGCGACAGTGGCTCATACCTACAATCCTCTTAGATATTCAGGAGACTGAGATCTGAACATTGAAGTTCAAAGTCAGTTGGGACAGGAAAGTCTGTGAAATTCTTATCTCCAATTAACCACCAGAAAACACTATGTGGTGCTGTGGCTCAAGTGGTAGAGCATGTACCTTGAGCTGAAGAGCTAAGGGACAGTGCCCAGGCCCAGAGTTCAGGCTCCATTACCAACAAAAAACAACAACAGCAACAACAAAAAGCTTTTTTAAAATTATATGCTGATCAGAATAATCTTCCCTATTATTTCTCTTTCTCTGACCTCCATCACTCTATTCATCAACAGCTTTCATTGAGGTTCATTAACTCAACTTCGTATGTTCTTGAAATTATTTTTTCTTAACATAAAATGTGGTTTTTATTGTACCGAGGCCGTAACAGACAGTGGATTTTGTCAATACTTCTAGGAGTACAGGTTCCCCTGTCAAGCCTGTTCCCACTCCCACTCAAATCTTGGGTGGTGGCCATGATCTCCAAAGATGTTCCCCATTTCAAGGGGAAGGGAACAGATGAATGAAGAGGGGAAAAGGTGAGAGGGAGAGAATGCAGTCATATTATTCAATGTATATCTTATGAAACTAGGACAATTGAAGGGAGTGGTGGGTT